TTCCCCCCCCCCCCCCTTAAATGCAGAAGAAAAGTTTTACAAGGTATATACAAGATATTTACAAATTTGAGGTATGAAGGGTAATTACTGTAGTGTTTACAATATTAAGATAAATAGATATACTAGTTAGATTATTATATGGTATTTTTTTGCACAATGCATGACAATGCATAGACAGACATTGTCTGCATAAGGAAAGTGTGATTTCTGAATCTATGTATTTGTAACTGGATTTAGTATAAAGTGTTGCGTAATTAGTTTCTTGAAGGTATTATAGAAATTTATGTCTTTCAGATTTGTTTCTAATTTGTTCCGCACATCAACTCCTTTATTTGAAAGAGTGTGTTTTACATAATTTGTTCTCTTATAACATTTAAAAAGTTTTGATGCGTTTCTCGTATTATGTTGATGAATTTGCTTGTTTGTAACGAAGTAGTTAGTAAAATATTCTGGTAAATTTTTAAGATGATGATATCGAAACATAAATAAAGCAGTTAAATAATTGTTGATTTTAAAAATATCAAGTATATGTAATTCTTTGAATATGGTCTCAGTGTGTTCCAAGTACAACTTAAATGTCATTAAACGTACAATTTTTTTCTGGATATTCATTATTTTATTTATTCGGGTTTTGTATGTGCTACCTCAAATTAAATTGCCATAAATCAGATATGGATAGAGTAATGCGTAATAAATTAGTTTGATAGCATTTCGATTTAAGAAATGTCTAATTTTAGCTATTATTCCGCACGCTTTCAAGAGTTTTTTTGAAACATTAGTTATATGATCATTCCATGTCAGTCATCAATGATGATACCAAGAAATGTTGTACTTTTAACTTGTTCTACATTTACATCATTCATATAATAATTTGAATTTCATGTTTTGGTTTTTTGTTAGAAGATCTAAATAAAATGAATTTTGTCTTTTGGATATTTAGAGATAATTTATTGACATTTAACCATTCTGTAACTTTGTTAATTTCAGTTTGTATGATTACATTAAGCGATTTAAGACAGCTGTTGCTATAAAATATATTAGTGTCGTCAGCAAGTAATATGAATGAAAATAATTTCCTGCACTGTTCAATATCATTTATGTAAAGCAAAAATAGAATTGGTCCAAGAATTGATCCCTGTGGAACCCCACTTCTAATCACCATTTCATTTGACCTAACTTAATCATATTTCACTATTTGTTTTCTATTTTCCAAATAATCTTTAAACCATGGTTGCATACCATAGAGCATGGCTAAATGGCGTGGGTGGGTGGGTGGGTGGGTGGGTTTGTCGCTGCCTCCTCCGCAGGCCCTTACTATTTGTAGATCAGTGTATATATAGACATATCAGTTTAATATATAGATCAGTGGCTGAACAAATCTGTTGTGATGCATGCTGGGAAGACGAAAAAATTAAAATAAGGGCCTGCCAAATCGTGACTCGAAAATCTGCGAATTTACTCGAAAATCTGCAAATGGGCTAAATGCTGAGAAATACGAAGAAATACGAAAATACCACCAAAAAATTCCGCTTGAAAGTAACTATATGCTCGAACACTGTAGATAGCCATAAAATATAAACTAGCGATACTCGAACAACGTAAACTAGCCATACCATACCTATATACAATATACTCGAACAATGTAAACAATGTATGGCCATGTATCACTAAGCCATACCTTTCGCCGAATATAACTTCGGCTCCTTTCAACGTATCGTTTTCGTATTAGTCTTGTTCGAATCACAATCCAACACACTATTTAGAGTGTTATTTTCCAGCTTGTATCTGCAAATTTGTATCTTTTATTTCGGTATTTAAAAATATCTAAATTTCAGCCGGTGGCACGCGCGTGCGAGTAGAAACCTGATATTTTGAAAAATTCAAAATAAATATTTCTGCTCGCCGTATTGAAACGAAACTCTCTACATAAAATCGCTTGAATACAAGGAATATTTTACTGCTATTAACTTCGGCGAATTCTGAAGAGTTTAGAAGATATTCAAGTTTTTCTCGATAAGAAATAAGAATGTTTGGCCAAGCGGCAAGTAAATATACGATCGTTTTGGTTTGTGTCATGTTATGACGGCATTTGATCCCCCGTTCGAAAGGTTATTTTATGAGGATTTCAATGGTGGTTTTCGTTTTAAAGGGCGAGCAAATACTTGCCGAGATATTTTAATCTTCCCCACTCCAAAGTCGGAAATGCAAATATGAACCGGACGACAATCCTTCGTCCACAATTGCAGCGGTCGCCATCTTGAATGCAGGATTTGCCAGTCGCTCCGCAACTCCTCCCCTTCCCATCGTCCCGCGCGCCCCCATTAATTTTTTTTCGTCTTTTACTAATTAATTATTTGATAGCAAGCGACTGGGGACGAGGCAGGAGTAAAATGAGGTTTAATTATTAAACCTAAAAATAACTCCACCGGACTCGAATTAACTCCCTGAAATTAATTTGAAATTGAATTTATTAATTGACATTCCCTAAAATGGCTTTTCAATGTCAATGACAATTTACATAAATTTTAAAAGAAATTATGAGTTATCAATTAACAGTGAGGTCGCACATACCTCCAATTGATCCGATAGGCTATATGCTAAAGTTAAACTAATGCAAAAAGCTCTCTGAACCTGTTTGTTCCTATATAAGACGATCCAAAGTTGCGGACAATTCTGAATGACTTCTCACGCAAATACTACGCTCGACCTCGAACACATTCTAGAACGTGACCTTGTTTAACTCACTAGAACGCGAAATCGAACACATTCAAGAACGTAAAATTAGCTGTGACCACAGCATTACACAGCATTAGCAAAACAGCTGCACTTACTTCTTATTAACTTAAACTACGCTGTTATTTGCTTTTACAATGTATATGGTACTGTAGTTATATTGAAGCAGGTTAACGAATTAAGGTGAATGATAAACAGAGAATTTGTTTCTATTCTTGTCACAAAGTAGGGTGCAATGTAACATAATCATATTCATGGGTTAACTAGACACATGGGCAGATAGTCTGATTAACACATTGAGCGCCGGTGCTCTTCTCTTGACGAGTAAAATAGCCTGGCGTTAGACAGACTGATAGTAAAGTGACGCGCATTCGGGCGCGCTGCAGCTTAATGGGTTAAAATATAGAACAAGATAGACTATTTTTCGAAAGTGGCTGGTGCCATTAAAAGAGAAGTTAATTCTCAAAGCTTCTATAAGGAATTAAATCCATAAGGCTGCTAGTCTTATCGAGATGTCATCTAACGAGATGCCATGTCATCCTTTATGCATGTTGCTGCCATGTTACACCCTTTAGTTGATTTAGTGTCATCCGGCTGAATATTGTATACTTACCACTTGATAGGTTTTGAGCATGACTCGGCGTTACTGAAACATGAATGTGCCTACTGCCTTGGACAAATGCAGGTGTGTACTGCATGTTTTTACCTGTATCCTTAAAGGATATGGCATGCAATGAAAGTTTGCCTCGATCGTTTGATAGATATTTTAAAATTTTGTATATGTAAAACAATACTGATTTTTCATATCTTGCTTAGTTCTGTAAATACTTTGACTGAAATCAATGTGCTGTCCGCCATCTTGAATTATATAGACATTTAATTAGTTTGTTATCTAATGTTCTAATTAACGGTGGGGTTAGCCATGTAAAAAAGTAGGGTTAGCGATAAAAACATGGCCTTTTTTAACTATATATATCAAAGTGCTTTTCTCTGAAATATAAGCAAAACATTCAATGGAAGAAAATGGAATTTAGAAGGGAGCTTTGAGAATTTAGTTGTGGTGTCTCCCGCGGCCTTACACAGACCCCTTGTCATATCTATACTAATTAAACTTGACTTTTTCAGGACAAATATGCTATACCATTTCTAATAAGGTATGTTAAACATTAATTGAAAACTTGTGATTGTTACCTCATGCCATACAGATTGCTTTTTGCTAGATATAGGATCGCCAAATGAACACATATACACAACTGCATGCATGTTGCTCGAAAACTTTACTTAAGTCTTCAAGAGCGTCAACTCAACTCTCTAACTGCTGTGTTTTTTAACACATGTTGGACTGTCTGCATGTGCCAGTGTAGGTGTATAGTGCCAATAATATGAACAAGCTTTCGTTGGTAGGGATGCAATTACCTGAAAAATATCAGGAGAATTTCGACCTTTCGAGCGAAGGTCCTTCGTCTGGCTTGTTCTCTAACACAGTCTACATCATGTGCACTATATGTATAGGTGATAGGATGGTTTCGAGTGCAATTTGGATAAAACATGCACGAGTAAGTTTTTCAAAGAGTACTCATCAAAATAGCACGAGTCTGAAGGACGAGTGCTATAGTGGCTATTAGTAAAACACGGAGCACACGGAGCACACGGAGCACGGAGCACACGAACTACGGAGCAGAAGAAAAACGAAAATCCTTTATAATAAAATACACTGTTTACTACAAATTTTTATTACAAATTTTTGTTCTTATTAATAAAGTTTTTTCGCGTTTTACACGTTGAGGAAGTAGAAAAATGGGGCTTTTACTGCACATATGATGCAAAACTGCCAAAAGCTATAGTATTTAAAATAGGATTGTGCCTGTGAAACTCGTCACATATCTATCAAGCTTATGAGTTATGTAGTTATACATACATACATACATACTTTATTGTGTTCCCTAAATAGGGATTTTCAACACTGATTTACAAAAAATAAATGTTGTTCTATTTACAAGTTTTAGAATCTAGAATTTAAATTAAGGTAAAAAGGTAAGACATTTGTATAAAGTTTAACAAGGTAAAACTATCTACTTATATATTTGTTCTAGCATGCTTCGCTTCAGTTCGTTTTTGAAAGTTTTTAGGGAGTCTAACTTTTTGTACTTTATGTCCAAATCATTCCAGAGTGTAACGCCTCTATAATGAAAGGATCTTTGACCTGCGGAAGTTTTGTACAATGGTATTTGCAATGAGTCATGGCTACGTGTATCTCGTTGATGAATGTCAGAACGTTTTGTGAATAAATCGCTCAAATAATGTGGAGCAAGTTCATTGACACATTTGTACATCATAATAGCCTCTCTTAGTAGTAATTGTTCCTTTACTGGGAGCCAGTTAAGTTCGCGTAAGCCCGGCGAAATATGGTCGAACTTTCCAATATTTGTTATTATCCTGCATGCAAAATTTTGTACCAACTGTAGTTTCTTAATGTTGGTAGACGAAGTGTTTGACCAAACCGTTGAACAATAGAACATTTTGTTCATTACAAGTGCCGAGACGATGAGAGTTAAAGCTTCTTTATCGAAACATTTTTTGACTCGGTTTATTTGGCACAGGGAATTCATACATGAAGAAACCAGGTTGGTGATGTGCTGGTCATATGTCAAATAAGAGTCGATTGTCATTCCTAGATCTTTGGCAAAGGAGACGGGGGTAATAGTCTCGTTGAGGAAGTTTATGGTCATATCTACGGGAAGTTGTTGTAGGTTTTGCCGTGTGCCAATCAGCATGTATTTGGTCTTTCCCGGGTTAATAAGCAATTCATTTTCGGAACAACTGTTTGCAATCAAATGGAGAACAGCCGATATATTTCGTTACCCCTGCCAAAAAATAGCCAAGTACTCATCTTTCAATGTAGCGGATCGACTGAACATTATAAAAGCTTGTCATGGAGAGAAGTGAATTTTCGGTTTATCCTTCGTCCCAGTGAGCAGTGTGCTGTACGGCCTACGCCGGTTTAAACCGTTATACATAATTACTGCTTTCATTCTTTCAATCCGTTTTGAATATTCGGAATCATTCACTATTATATTATAAAACTGTATAAGATAGCTGTAGAACTATAAATGCTGTAGAATAAAATAAATAAAGAAAACTACGTTTTATCGCGGTATTTGCCGATAAATCGGTAACCGCTACAGAAAAACAGAACAAATTACAGTAAATCACAACAAACCGCGGAAGTGGGACAATTTTGTATTTTTACTGTAAGACATGCAGAACATGTACGAAATCCATACAGAAGTGTGTGTGTATTCTATACTTTTGAAACAACTAAATCAGACTTCGGAAAATTTGACAGTATTAAAGCTACTTTTGAGAATTTAGATTTTAGGTCTTTGTTTTACATGTACCCAGTAAATATTTTTGAGTTTTGAACTCTGATTCTCACAAACTTACAATTTGTTTACAATTTACTCTGGCTCTGCCGTGCTGCACGGCAGAGTTGATCGGAATTGTAACAAATACGCGTACACTTAAATGGCTTCCTGAATTTAGTCAATCAGATGTGTAAAAATTACTCGTTTCAATATTATGTTTATGCTCGAAACTGCTCATGTTTACAATAGCAATTCTAACAATCTTGCCCTCCTTTTCGCCTTTGAGGCGTTGGTGTTGATTTATACACAAAATTCAAAACTCAAAAATATTTACTGGTCTGGGTACATGTAAAACGAAGACCTAAAATCTAAATTCCCAAAAGCAGCTTTAATACGGTCAAATTTTCCGAAGTCTGATTTAGTTGTTTCAAAAGTATAGAATACACACACACTTCTGTATGGATTTCGTACATGTTCTACATGTCTTACAGTAAAAATACAAAAATTGTCCCACTTCCGCTGTTTGTTGTGATTTTAATACTGTAATTTGTTCTGTTTTTCTGTAGCGATTACCGATTTATCGGCAAATACCGCGATTTGAAAACTTACTTTTCTTTATTTATTTCATTCTACAGCATTTATAGTTCTACAGCTATCTTATACAGTTCTATAATATTGTGAATGATTCCGAATATTCAAAACGAATTGAAAGAATGAAAGCAGTAATGATGTACTGTATAACGGTTTAAACTTAGCCGGCCGTACAGCTCACTGCCACCGGTCACTGAGCCGAAGGATAAACCGAAAATTCACTTTTCTCATCACAAGATTTAATGTTCAGTCGATCCGCTACATTGAAAGATGAGTATACTTGGCTATTTTTTGGCAGGGGTAACGAAATATATCGGCTGTTCTCTACAGTAAGTGTTTCTTTATGTGTTGCCCATCGGAATATAATATAACTACATAAGCTTGATAGATGTAAGATAACGAGTTTCACAATCCCATTTTAAATACTATGGCTTTTGGCAGCCTGGTTTTGCATCATATGTGTTTTTCAGTAAAAGCCTCATTTTCCTACTTCCCCAACGTGTAATACGCGAAAAAAACTTTGTTAATAATAACAAAAAATTGTAATAGTAAACAGTGTATTTTATTATAAAGGATTTTCGTTTTTCTACTGCTCCGTACTTCGTGTGCTCCGTGCTCCGTGTGCTCCGTACTCCGTGTGCTCCGTGTGCTCCGTGCTCCGTGTGCTCCGTGCTCCGTGTTTTACTAATAGCCAATGAGGGGGGGACCTCCAGGATTTATGTTCTTGTTTTTCCTGTTGTAGGGTGCTTTGAAAATTCTACTTGTCTAAATAAGAGGGGGGTAAAGAAAAAATATTATAACTGTAGAGTTTCTCCTCAGTCCCCCTGCACAATAAATAATGTGCGATTCCTAAGTTGCAATTTTGCATCTTAGTTTATGAATTTTATACTTTGTCTAACATCAGATAACTTTTCTCGTCAAGCGAAGAATGCCCCCACTCATGGTCACTCATGCAGTTAAAAAGAGTACCTTTGTAAACTTTGTTCAAGCATCAGGGGCGCACATTAGGGGGGTGTGGGGGGGGTGTGACACCCCCCATGTTTTGTGAAATATATAAAAAAAGTCGGTCCCGAAACCTGAATGGGACGAAAAGGTCGGTCCGGCTAAAATCTGAAAGATATTATCATTTTGTGTCGAAAAAGTAATATCGGTGGACATTTTGGAAATGGAAGTTGCATAAACATCAGAAAAACGCGTACGCATACACAAATTAGAGTTCACTGACACAAATCAAGAGATCAATTATATTATACTAGCAGCAAATAATCAACTTCCGTGTTGCAACAGTTCAGCCAACGTAATGCGATCCTATTACCTCAAGCCCCCGCGGTGCAGTTAAAATGCGCATTGTTAGTCTTGTCGCAAAAGCTAAAACTTTGAAAAGCAGAAGTAAATCAGCGGCGTAGCCAACATGGGGGCTCGGGGAGCTCTGAAATGGGCAGAAGGACTGCCCTTGTGGAAAGCTGAAATCCGGGCAGAAATTGGGGTGGGGGTAGGTTGTGTGAATAATGATACCCATCTCTTCTGTTTGCCAATAAAAGTTGAAGTCTTCCCTACCTAGAATCCTAACTCCAGTAAAAATGCCTATGGTTGTTTCAAAGCACATTTGAACTTGAATTTGCGCTCAAAGCAGCACTCATGACCGACTTCTACAAAAACGAAGACATCATGCTATTTTGCTGTTGTATTTGCGTGTACAGTACAGGTGTATCAGGTTTTACATAAATATATTTTCGATCTAACAACATTAGGCGACTTAAAATGCCTTTTGTGGTTCTAACTTTCCTTCAAACCTCATCCTAAAATACGTAAAATAGCGTTCTAATGAATCTAGAAATTCAAAATTTTCCTCGCGCCTTTGGCGCTCCCCCCGAAAGTTTAGACCACTGCAAAAGTTCTGAAAAACTGAACGTTTATTTAAACTCTTGGAATACTATCTCCGTCTTACCGTCTATGCCTCTATCCGCAATTTACACCTTAAATAGTTGGCTTTCCTTACCAAACAAAAATACTACAAAAGTCGGTCCCAGAATATATGACACCCCCAAATTTGTTTTGAATGTGCGCCCCGGCATGAATAGTAAAATTCTATGTCTTGGTTGTTACCAGTGTTTCTCCCTAATTTCCCTTTCATAAAATCTAGATCAATGACAATGGGAAGCATCAATTTTTCAACCGCAAATTCGATTAAAGCACACAACGCTCACAGAGTTGAGTTTTAATGTTTTTGAGTCCGAGCTATTGGATGACATGACTACCAACACATTGCACTTTTAACCTTTATTCCATAGCTTTTCATAAGCAGTTAAACAACGTGATATGTCACCCGCGATATAGTAAATTATAGTCTCTTCCGAGTTTCTTTGTCCGAGTCCTTGTTATTTGATACACGTGGAATGCCACATGTTTTTGAGAGTCGGAAAGGTGGATTATACAATTTCCATATTTTGTAGTCGTGCCATGTGAATTGTCATCAGGAAGAAGACTGAAATGTGATAATGATAGTGTTTCGTCATCAAATCAATGTCCGAAAACCTGCTGCTTTAATGTGGGAGCAAATCCCGATTGTTATTTCCAAGAAAATGGTAGGAGTTTTAATTAATCCCCCAGCCAACGGTGCGGAGCGGCGTTTCGGGCGTAAGCCCGGGGCGAGGGTACTAATACCGCCCGGCTATTTACTCCCGGGTAACGGAAAGCATTAGCGAATCATGGGTGGGTGGTCATCCTCACTGGTCTCATAATATAGCGGACTGTATGAGGCGCCAAATATGACAAAATAGATCATAGTTGTGTGATATATATTACTGCAAATATAATAGTATAACTTGTGATGAATAGGTTACTCTTCCAAATATTTAAATATTGAAAGCGCGTGATATATATCACAAATCATGGTTTATATCACAACTCGTGATATAGATCACATTTCAGCTCGTGATATAGGTTACAAATCATGGTTTATATCACAACTCATGATATAGATCATAATCCACAATGCAGCTCGTGATATAGGTTACAATTTCGCGTTCGGAATTACTTCATCTTACGACCCATATAGTTGACGGAGGGCTATTTTATATTCCGGGGGAGGGGGGGGGGGACATTACATTGGACCATTAATTGGACGACATATTCATTGTTGATGCTTCGCGCCTTCGATTTTGAGCTGTAACTGACCGTCGTAAACACTGCGGAAGCTTACGTTTTCATGTACCCACTTTTTTCAGGTGACCGGGCAAAAAATGATCAACTGTGCAAGTTCCGCGAGCAGTTAAAGTGAGTCGTCATGCAATTGGATGCATGCATCTAGTAACTTGCCGAGCATGCGCACAAAAAAATGGGCACAGTAGTTATAACTCTGTATGTCTCTACTCTGTGGTGGTGTACACAAAAGTTACCACAATGCATTAGGGCATGGAACATTGTAAACACGGCGTAGAATGGCAACACTTCGCCTCAAAGCACGACTTAAAGGGTCTACACTGCAAATTGCATTTCTCACTTTCCATCGTTGAATATGAATATTTGGTTGCCCTAGGGCGCCCAACACAAACGTTTCACCAGCGTTAGGTAAATCTGGAGAACCTCTCGAACAACATTACACAAATCAGTATGGGTAATTTCAGTAAACGTGTTTCGTGGCCCACTTGTGTTGCTGACTGGTAAGCGGTACTCGTGGCGTCGTCGTAATATAGACATAGTTCGGTAGCTCACTCCAATTTCCGCAGCAACTTGAGACCATCAGCTGCGGTGTATCCCATGTAAGTTGGTCAAAGCATTCTGCAGCAGACTGTATCGTCTTCTTCCTTTTTGAACAATTCCTTCTGAATGGACAAGTAAAACTCAGCGGGTTAGCTAAGTTCTCATTTCTGATCCAAAACGCGTCGTAACTATTGCACAATGATTGCAATTCAGACACCAAAATACCAAGATCATTCTGAATTTGTCGATCGTCAATGCGTTCTATTGCACGCTGGAGAAGTATATTTACACAAATAAATTGTCTTCTAGGCGTCGCTGGATAAACTCAACAACAGTATTGTCACAAAATAATTGACGACGCGCCTCTGTAATTTGATTTGGAATATTTCTCAAGAAAGCCTCGATGTTTATTTCTGGGCTTGTATGGACCATTTTAATCTAGAGAAAAATTTCATCACAGGTTGAAAGAGCGTCACAAAATAATATTGCGAAGTTTGCCGTTTTTCAGTCATTTTGTATTACGTACGGGAAATTGACAGCCCAATTGGGTGTTGAGTATCAATTTCGCGTTTGTAATACAAAATGACTGAAAATTGCAAATTTTGCAAGGCTATATTATCCGCATTTTACAACATTTCGCAACGAAACTTTGGAATATTACTAATTTTGTGATGCTCTTTCAAGCTGGATAAAATTTTTGGCTAGATTTGATCAAAATTTTAGTTATAAGGGGAAAGGTCCATTCATGGCCCCATTTTGAAACCCTGAAAACATTTTAAAATTTGAAACATTCCCCCCCCCCCCGGAATATAAAATAGCCTTCCGTCCACTATATGGGTCATAAGATGAAGTAATTCCGAACGCGAAATTGTAACCTATATCACGAGCTGCATTGTGGATTGTGATCTATATCACGAGTTGTGATATAAACCATGATTTGTAACCTATATCACGAGCTGAAATGTGATCTATATCACGAGTTGTGATATAAACCATGATTTGTGATGTGTATCACGCGCTTACAATATTTAAATATTTGGAAGAGTAACTTATTCATCACGAGTTATACTGTATATATTTGCAGTAATATATATCACACAACTATGATCTATTTTGTCATATTTGGCGTCTCATAGGACTGTCATGAATACCGAACACTGATTGGATTGGTCCAATTTAAAATCTGCGTTATAACGACTGCATGACGACAGCGAAATTAGCGAACATTTCTTGATTGGATGACTTGATGATTTCTTGCAAATATATTTCATTTTTGCAAGACTTTGGTAAGTAAGTTTAAAAAACGTTTTGAGAAAAAAGGCGAAAGAATTGCTAAAATAAGGGAGTAAAGGTACCGACGTTAACGAAGGTAAGTTTGTTTTAAATATTATTATTATTATTATTATTAAACGAATTTATATACAGGATAAAAACTCCATCAGTTATGTGAAAAAATCACAAACTGTTATTAACAGAGGTCCTGTTTACTAATAGTCTAAACCTAAAAAGCTAAAAGTCCATCTTTATAATTATGTATACCAACATCAATTTTACGATTAAAAAATTAATTAGAATAGAAAAGTTAAAAAAGTCGAAGAAGTCATTCGTAGGAACTAAATTGCTAAGTGCTTACTCAGTCCCTTCGTAAAAAGTCGCAAAGTGTCAGATTTACGAATTTCCAGAGGTAATTCATTATAAAGTTTTCCTCCGTTGAAGTAGAAACCCTTCTTTGCGGTTTCAAGTTTCACTTTCGGGAGTTTTATACTAAAACCCAGATTTCTAGTAGCTACTTTAGAATCAATCAAAGTGAAATAATTTAAGAAGTTTTGACACACATTGTTTAAACATCTAAAAGTCAATATGCAGGATTTCTTCTTTTGGATTGTTTCTACCGAAGGCATTCTATTTGATGCTTGTTCCTCTGACGTTCCAAATATGATTCTAGCCGCTCGTTTCTCAAAGCTCTCGAGCCGTTTCTTTTGTGTGGTCGTAGAGCACGTACACACTAAAGAACAATAGGTTAGTACAGGAATTACCATAGCCCGATATATATCCAGAGATGCTTTCGTAGAAAGGAAAGAGCGAGTTTTTGCCAGAAGTTTAAGATATCCTGAAGCTTTCTTAAACGCCTTATTCACGTGATCATTCATGTTTAGGCTTGACTTTAAGTGAACTCCAAGGTATTTATAGTGTGACGTAAAGTTAACCTTCGAACCATTGCATTCTAGGTTCATTTGACGGCCATTCAAAGTACTCAGCCGTTTTCCAGTTCCAAATAGCATACTTTCTGTTTTCCCTTTTTTCATATTGATAATCAGTTGATTTTGTTGAAGCCACGATGTGATACTGGCCAAATCATCCTGTAATTTCTTTTCTATTACTTCAATATCTTTGTGAGAGTAATAAATTACAGTATCATCCGCATACATAAGGATCTTGCAATTGTTCAAAGATGCAACTATTCCGTTAAAGTGCATGATAAATAATAGGGGGCCAAGGATTGAACCCTGTGGAACCCCACAGTTAACTGGTTTAAAAGAAGATTGTTCACCATTTACAGAAACACACTGCTCACGCGCAAATAGGTAATTTGTAAACCACTCTTTTTCTATTCCAGAAATTCCATAATTTGGTAACTTCGACACAATTAATGAATGACTAATAGTGTCAAAAGCTTTACGAAGGTCTATGAAGATTGCTCCAGTCAGTTGACCTTTGTCCATATTTTTCCTGATATTATCAAGAAAAAGAGTTGAAGCGAGTTCCGTTGACCTATGAGGCCGATAACCGAATTGAGAGTCAGATAACATTTTGTTCTCCTCTAAATGATTTAACACTTGCGAGTGCACGCACTTCTCAAGAATCTTTGAAGCAATTGGTAGAATGGTAATTGGTCTGTAGTTGTCAATATCCTTAGCAGATCCCGATTTATAAATTGGTATAATCTTACCCTTTTTCCAATCAATTGGAATGATCCCAGTATTCGATGATAAATTGATAATATAAGTTAAGGGTTCTGCAATCACATTTGCGGTATCTTTAAAAAGGCCAGGCGGTAAATCGTCAAGTCCAACTGACTTCTTGCGCTTTAGATTTTTTAAGTTTCTTAAAACTTCACTAACCTGAACTTGTTTGAAACTAAACCGTGTGACTATGTCCTCATTAGAGGTCTGATGCTTCCATACAAAGTTCGTCAAAGGGAAAACCGCTAATTTCAGCTTGTTTGCAATCGTAGAGAAAAACGAACAGAACGAGAGACGAGGTTGTATTATTTGTTACGTTGTTTACAGGAAAAACCTCTTTTATAGTTTTCCAAAACTTTTTGGGTTCTGATGCATTCGCTTCCAATAGCTGTCGGTAATATTTTCTTTTATCAGTCTTAACGCTATTGTTTACTTGGTTTCGCTTTCGCTTATATGTTGACCAATCATTTTCACTGCCGGATCTCCTGGCTTTCCTCAATAAGCCATCTCTCATATTCATTTCTTTCTTGGTATTTGCTGAAAGCCATTGACATGGTTTCCCCTTAACTCGTTTTGTGAAGAACGGTGCATATTTGTTTATAATGCTAGTAAGTATATCTTTCATTGAAAGCCATGCTTGATTAGGATCACAATGACTATACACATTGTCCCACTGCGTAGATTCAGACAATTCAGAGCACATATCATTTGGATTGTACCTTGAATAATTTCGGCATTTAATTAGCTTTGGAGGAAATTTATGATGGTTTAATTTACGAACGCATCCAACCATATCGTGGTCACTTAAACCCGAGGGAATAACTTCAACCCTTGCAATTGTTTCTGGATTTGTTGATTGAATAACATCGATAAGTGTCTTGCCGTGTTCAGTAATGCGCGTCGGCTTGTCTACAAGTTGTGAAAAGCCATTTGAGCTGAAAATTTCCTTCAATTCCAAGTTGTCATTTCTCTTTAGATAATCACAATTTATGTCACCAGTGATAATAGTTTCTTTACTTTCCGCTAGGGCAGTTATCAAATTGTCTTCCCATAGAAGATTAAAATTATCTTGCAAATAGTTAGAGGTATTTGGGGGTCGATAAATTATACCAATTAACAGGCTTCTTGCATGTGGGAAGCAGATTTCTAGCCATATACACTCTATATTCTCGTTTTCAAGATCAGAACGCCGAGTATAGGGAGTCCCGTCCTTTATATACACACCTATTCCACCGCCAGATCCTTTCAAACGACATTTTTGCTCATAGGAGTATCCTGTTATATTGAAACAACACGCCGGTGTATCTGATGTTATAAACGTTTCACTAACACAAAATATGTTTATGATATTGGTTGCGAGAATCTCAGAAACAATATCCTTCTTACCAAATAAACCTCTAATGTTTTGATGTAGGATCTTAAAACCACGGATATTTGACAATCTTTCCAATTCCGGCAATCGATACTCCTCGGGATGAATCTCACTACCGCCATTAGTTAAACACGTTCGGAAAATATCATTACACAAACATCTCAAATGAAAGACATTACTGCAGATGGTACATGAAACTTTATCAGTGTTTCTTCGGAAGCATTTCTTGCAGTCGCCACATCTCATACGAGGTCCAGGACATAATTCTACATCACCTGCGAGAATTAGCAGAATTTGTAAAAGCGACTTCGGTGGTAGTCTGGAGCAATTTCCACGACATATATTCCACACGGACGTTGTTAAGAATAGTTCTTTTCCTTCAAAATACTGACTAATACACTGCTCCGCATCACTGTACAAGCATTGAGAACTTGCATTAGTAAAAGACGGCTTTTTGATACACACAATGATCAAAAACATAAGAGCTATTTTCATTGCAACCGCGGCCATCTGTATTGTTTGCTTTATAATTGCTTTAAAACTGATCGTTGCGTATATTTTAAATTAAAAAAGAGTGTATCTTTACCGATTACCCTTTTTTAATATATTAGATTTTTTAAATAATCTGTTTTATACATGCGAGAATTTCAAATCATATACGTATAATATAACATACCTAACATATATATGTTTGGGAAATTGATAATTTTCGGTAGTTAGAAGTCGGATATTTTTAGGGGATTTTTTTGGTAAAAATATTCTTAATAAAATTGCCGTGTTATTATGAGAACTGCTTTAAATACTTCATGCTCGGAAATACAATAGTTTCGTCAGCAAGGCGTGGGTTTCTGCATGCATGTATTTTCTAGTATTAGCATTTCATCGTTAATATCTCGGTTAATATACAGACACAAATTTCCTTAAATGCACATGAGATAATGGTACGAGTTCGAGACTGGCATTTATTTATCTACTAGAAATAAATGCATGCAGTAACCCCTCGCCAATATTTTCCAAACATTAAATTAACATGAAGTGTTCAGAAATGGCCAACACTGAACGCAGGCTCGCGCTCAAGTGTTGCCATGACAACACGATGTTCTTAAATTTGTTCTCCTTTACATTTAAAGATTTTTTCTCAAATTAAACGGTAATTTATGAAACCGTTAGAGCTAAAAGTAAAATGGAAAACAGTTCATGTTTTTATGCAAAAAGTTTTAAAAGCAATAAAATTCGTAAACATTAAATATTCAACGCAAACTTGCCGTATATTTCACGATTTCCCATAGTAAATCAATTCTTCTTATTTCTTCAAACAAAATTGCTTCAAGCTTGTTGTATATGAAACGATTTTCCAAATATATGTCTTTTAAAATTGAAATCTTGCTTATACCACTCCTACAAGCAATCAGCCATATTTTTGAGATTACTGAGGATGACCACCCACTCAACACCGTTGGTGAGCCACGCCCGCGATCATTGGTGAACTTTAGACTTTGCTAATGCTTTCGTTTCCCCGGGTGTAAATAGCCGGGGGGGAATTAGTACCCTCGTCTCGGGCTTACGCCCAGAACGGCGCTCCGCGCCGTTGGCTCGGGGATAACTTAAATATAAAATCACATTATCAGCCTTGAGTTCAAGTCAATGTTTTTATTGTCCGCTCAGGCAAATTTGGTAAGTCCCTAATACTGGAATGCACACCTTTAACAACGCACTCCTGCACTGATTAACAGGGCCGTAGCAAGACCAATATTTGGGGGGGGGCGGCGTTGCATATTCATATATTCTTGTTCTGCCCGACGGATTTCTTTTGAAAGCGATTGTTTTTACTGTAGGTGAACGTGATTATATGAATATACACCTCCCCCCCCCCCAATTATCGCGTCTAGCTACTACGGCCCTGTTCATTAACACTATCACCATTACATAAAACCAGCACATTACCATTTTCATATACGTCGGGTCCGCCGCCGGATGTTCAAACGTCGGTTAGCTTTTTAACCCTATAGATTAACCTAGAATTGAAAGCAATTAACTTCCCAACTACTTGTAAATAAACTTGGGAATTTTTCTTCAGAAATCGTGTCTAGTTAATAGGTCCTCAAAATTTTTGAAATAAACATACCTGCAGAAAAGCAGAAACTAAAACAGTTAGGTTAAATTTTAACCCAGAGTTAGCGCTAATCCACTTGTGAACAATCGGCCCCACTTCATTTGCTGCATTTTTTATTTCTAGCATATGGTCCAATTAACCACTCCAACGGACTATGTATAAATGTACAAACTGATGGTTCTAACACTCTAATTTGGTCAGCAGACTGTTCGTCAAGAAATGCATTCTTTTTGGTATCATACGATCATCCACCGTACCACGTAGCCTCTGGCAAATGTGTTTTGCCATCCGGGTACGTATTTTGAAAAGTGAGATTTTATTAGCACGATGAAGGTTTAAAGGGATATGGCAAGATATTTTTTTATTATTTCATTTGGAAAAACTTTTAAAATTATATGTAAATCTAGTTTACCGATTTTGCGTACAGCTACATTATTTCTTGAGATATTTTGACAACAAATCACAAATCAGCGAGCATTCTGCCATCTTGGATTTTGGCGGATATGCATGTTACGTCATAAGCAGGGTCAAGCAAGTATTTTATCCAGAAAGCAATTGGTTATTACGAGTTACCAAGATTTTTAAAAAAAAGTTTAAAAATTTTTTAAAAAGATTAAAAAAGTTAAAAAAGGCAAAAAAAAGTTACATTTTTAGGGGTTAGGAGTTAGGGGTTAGTGGTCAGTGGTTAGGGGTTAGTGGTTCGGGGTTAGAGTTAGTGTACGTTGGGGTCAGGGTTAGCATGGGCGTACCGGGTGGAAAAAATTAGGGGGGCGGAAAGAAATTTGCCCGACTTTTTCGAATTGTGCCCGACCAGTTCCGAAATTTTTTTTTCCGGAACAATTAATTTTGGCGACCTCTTCTCCCCCCCGTCGCCAAAAAAATTTCGGTCAGTGTACCATTTTAGGGGTCCAAAAATTTTTCGAACATACCAAAATTTTTCGGAACATCAAACAAATTTCCCAAACATCACAAAATTGACAGAATTTCCCACAAAATTGACAGAATTTGTCCCATTTATTTTTATAATAACCCAATATTGCCCGACTGTGAAGCGAATAATGCCCAACTGGCTTTGTTTGCCCAACAAACTGGGGTTATTATTAACAGAGATTTGATTGCTTTGACTACTATTTTTGCTTTTTAATTTCCCACTCTTCGCCCGACTTATGTTGAACATTTGCCCGACTTTTCGACTTTGTAATCTTTTTTTTTTTTGGGGGGGGGGCAGCTTCCCCCACTGTTAGTGTTAGGGGTTAGGTGCCGCGAATTTATCATTATGATAAATTCAAAATGTGCCGTGATTTTATCATAATTAGTGATAAATTCGGACGTGTTTAAGAATTTACTAACTCATATAGTAAATTCAAAGATGGAGCTCATGCTGCGATAATGAGATAGAAATTTATCCAAGATGGCGGACAGCTAATCATTTTAAGTGAAAATATTTCAAAAACTACGCAAGATACGAAAAAATGATAAAGGATTTGTATATAATTTTAAAAGGTCTTTCAACATATTGCCGTACGTATTTCTATAATAGTATGTAGTTAATGATTATAACGCGCTTTCTCCAATTTCGGAGAAGATCACACAACAATATACCGCCAGGGGCTTTAATTAAATGTTCGTCTAACACAGGATTAGCCTGAATTGTACAAAAACCCTTTGTATCTCGTGTGGGACCGCATCATCGCCAGTATAGTATATAAAAAAGGTCAGGGTATGTGATTGAAATGCTTTGAAAATAAATTTTATTTTATAGTGCCAAAGGTAATCCAGGAAATAGTAATCTCGTCCTAAAGAGCCACAATCGTGACTGTGACAGTGTGACTTACAGACCAACAGAAAATGGCAATTTGGGGTATTACTATCTTCATTTCGATTATAAAATTTGCATTGGGAGTAGATCTGGTGGCTGTCCCAAAGAAAATGAGCATGTTTATATTCCGAAAGAAGCATGTCAAGTTGATGACATTTGTCAAAACGCTCTCAGCTATGGTGAGATTTTCCCTTATTTCCTTGTAGTCTATTTTACTTCAATTTATATGTTAAAAGGCAAATAAAGTCCGATTAGAAAAAATAATAACTACAGAGTTGAATTTTTTGAAAAAAAGGATTCGCAACCGCCGGTGCTATGGCGACAATGACGATACAATATCGCCAATTTTTGGGTTTAAAGTTATTTAACTTGAAAATAAGGTCGGTTACCCCAATTTTTTATCACATAAAAATAATTCGTTTATAGTTTTATTTTTATTACGCCCGTAAAAGTATTTAGAAGTTATTTACATTTTGTTTTTCTATTTTTTTGATAAACTAGGGGCCTTCTAGAGACCTAATAAGCTGTTTAATAAAGACCCCTATACTTACATTATTTCATTCTTATATTTAGTCAGTTTGAATTATTATATTGAACAAAAGACAAAAATATATAACGAATATAAAATAAAACATTAACATGCTTATAAACTTAATTATATATATATATATATATATATATATATATATATATATATATATATATATATATATATATATATATATATATATATATATATATATATATATATATATATATATATATATATATATATATATATATATATATATATTCAAAGTGGAAGATACTATATATGTACGTATATTTACAGTAAATAAGGTGGTAATATTTCTAAACTATTATACATCAATTATTGAATACATAATGTTTTTTTTTATTTTAATTTTTATTTTAAAAGTATTATAGGAGAAAATAGATTTGTATTTAGATTCTATGTTAATCCAAACATCAACTCCTTTGTTAGAAAGAGTATGCATTACATAATTTGTTCTTTTATAGGTCTTGTGAAGCTTAGTTGCATTCCTTTTGCCATGGTCATAAATTTCATTATTAGATACTAGAAATACATGCATGCAACAACCCCTCGCCTATATTTTCCAAACATTTTTTCAACATGAATTATTAATTCGTAATTACGCCAACACTGGACGCAGGTTCGCGTTCCACGTCATGTTAGTCATGGCAACACGGTAATTGTTTTTTAAATTTTTGTACAAAAAAAATAGATGAAATTTGAACACTTTTAAATACAGAATTATCAATTTCTAAAATACATAAAGTGGGTATATTATTTTGGTTTCTATTGACTCTATTTTAACGAAAAATTCAAAACGAAACTCTACCCACAGGGAGCCCAAGCGTTGATCTGTGTCTGTGTTGTATGTTTTTCAGTTTATTTATTTTAGTGTCTTTATATTGCCTTTTAATTGAATTATAACACTACATTACACTAATATGTCATACAATAATAATAATACTCCTATAGTCGAACACAAGGTTGTATCACTGCAAAATACATGTCGTAACATAAAAACTTGTAAAAAAGTTACTGTAATTTTAACAGAAATCAGTGCTTCCACATTCTAAAAAGCATTCAAATTTTCCTCTCAACGAAAAATAGAGCCGATCGCCGGTCGGCTATTTGCGATGCTTCCGCGAGGAATATGTCATCTTCTGCATACTGACATATGTTTTTTTTATTAATATACGTTTCTCAAAACAACTCTTATTGCATAAAAATTGAGAGGTTTTATAGTGCATTTTTCTTGAAATTTGAGTGTTTTCAATGCAAGGAAGGCACAATAATTGATAAATGTTAGAACAGGTAGGGTTTTACGAATGTATAGACTGGTGTTTGTATTAAGTTGTTTTCTTTTTTATATTCTACAAAGATGATTCCGAAATATTAAATTAAGGCTTTCGAAAAAACTATCGAATTTTTCCATGATGTTTTGCAGAGAAACGTTACTGCTGCAAACTCCCCTCCCCACCCCCCAAACAAACATATTCCCTAAACTTTTCAACTCAGCCGAGCTCCAACTTATTACTCGCACTTTGAAATGAAATACATTTAATCCGTACAGGAAGCTAATGAAATTTACTTTCCTTTTTATCATAACCTTCTACAAAAGTTAATTTAACTAAGAAACCTTCACATACAATGTAATAGGAAAGACTTGAGCAACAAGAACAAAGTCTATATTAATACAAAGTCATACATAAACAATTGAAACAAACTTGCCCTATATTTTGAGATTTCTCATTTCTCATACTAAATCAATTCTTATAAATGTTTACGTTTAAAAATTGAAAAAGTTTTACAATTTGTTATGTGAAACGATTTTGCAAGCTTCCTTATAATTATGTGTTCATATTTTTGCCTTCTTCACTCCGGGCAAACAGCCAGATTTTGAGATCAGTGAGATGACCACCCACCGAACACCGAACCACGCACGGTAACCCACGCCCACGCCATCATTCATGAACTTTAGACTTTGCTAATGCTTTCGCTTCCCTGGGCGTCAATAGCCTCGCGGAATTAGTACCCCTGCTCGCCCCGGACTTACGCCCGGAACGGCGCTCCGTGTCGTTGGCCGGGGATGGAATAATTTACGAAATTTTCTGGTAAATTCTTCAAATTATAATATCGAAACATAAATAAGCTCGTTACCGTAAACCTCCGACTATAAGCTCCCCCGAATATAACCCCCCCCCCCGAATATAAGCCCACCACATATACTAACGCTCACTTCATTCCAAATATAAGCCCACCCGAATATAAGCCCACCCGAATATAAGTCCCCCAAATATAAGTCCCCTGAATATAAGCCCAGTAGCCCACTACGTTATTCAACATTGACATTGTCTTTTAATATAGCAGAGAACGATATTTAAAAACATTAATATATTGCCATTGGCTTTACAGCCGACTATGTGAATCAAAGAGTGTTATTAATACATGCTTATTTTCCTGTTTATGACTGACTTGTTTATGTCTGAATTGTTTGTTACTAACACAAAAGATCGTCCATTTATTAGCCCCCCGTAGATAAGCACCCCCCCCCCCTTGTATAAGCCCATCAAAAATCGCTTACGAAAGTATATAAGCCCAGGGCTTATAGTCGGAGGTTTATGGTATACGTATTGATTCAATCTATAAATGTTTAGTATTCTTAACTCCTTAAATATATATTGGTTCGGTGTGTTCAAAGTAAGAGTTAAATGTCATTAGACGAATAATCTTTTTCTGAATATTTACTAATTTTTGTGTTCTCCTTTTGTATGTGTTACCCCATATTAGATTACCGTAATTAAGATAAGGGTAGAAAAATGCATAATAAATTAATTTAAGAGCTCTCAAGTTTATAAAATGCCGGATCCTGGCAATGACTGCTGATTTATCATTTTCTTTGATATTTGCTCTAGATGATATGATCATTCCATGTCGAAATTCATCATCAAATATCCCCAAAAATGTTGTCTTTCTAACTTGCTAAATAATTTTATTAGTAAATAAATTGTTATATTATGTTTTGTTTTTTTCCTTCTCGAGGACCGAAATACAATAAACCGGCTTTGTTTTTTTCTGGATTGATATATATTAGTATTAATATTAATATTTAACCAAACAGCTATTTTATTTATTTCCTCTTGTATTATTTGGTTTAATGTTTTAAGGCAAGTGTGACTATAAAATACGCTTGTGTCATCTGCAAATAATATATTTGAAACAATATTGCTACAATTCTAGATATCATTTATATACAAAAGAAATAACAAAGGTCCCAGTACTGATCCTTGAGGAATACCACTTGTGATTGTCATATCTTTTGATTTTATTTGGTTAAACTTTACAATTTGCTTTATATTCTTTAAATAATTTTCAAATCACTCTTTGTATATGCCTCTTATACCATAATATTCCAGCTTTTTAATGAGAATCTTGTGATTAATCGTATCAAATGCCTTTGATAAATCAAGGATAATACCAATATTGTATTTCCCCTCATCTATTGGTCTTGTAATTTTATCAACAAGCTCATTAATCGCATGCTCTAATGACCTGTGAGATATACTAAAACTGTCTGTACCAGTGTAGGTAGTACCAATGTGAAATTGCTGTGCTGAGTGGTTATATTACTACCTGAAATAAACAAGCAAAAACTCGACTTTTCGAGCGAAGGCCCTTCGTCAAGAGTGGCCGGGATCGGGGAAAATGCACGGGCTTTTATACTAAGAGCATGAAAGCAACATGTGACAAAAAATAAACCAATTAGATGGATTTAATCATAACGAAGTGTAAACAACATATGTAAATCGCATTACAGAATATAATATAAAACAAAAAATATATAAAGGAAGCTAAGACAATTAATACAAAAATAAATCAAAACAAAACACAAGTGGGAATAAGGTAAGAAATATAATTACTAAATAGATAAATGCTGACAATGTTTGCTATAGACAGGCAAGGACAGATGGAACTAAACATAGGAAAAGCGTTCATTAATACCAGCGGGGTGAACAGTGCCAAGTTTGGATATGGAGTGCATTTCATGTCGTTTGCGGCTATCGTTGCTTCCAGAAATGGGGCAGAGGGCTCGAATTACCATATCTGAAACACTGTGATTGCCATTAAAATGTCTGGCAACAGGTTGGTTAGCATCATTGCCAATAACTGCACGCCGATGTTCACCATCCTTGTCCTTAAACATCTTCCAGTTTCACCAATGTAAAGCATGCCACATCTGCTGCAAGAGATGCAGTAGATGAGATGGGAGGAGGCGCTAGCTCGTGAAATAGTGCTTGATGTTATATGTAAACAACGAGTTTGAGTGTTTCATCAGGGGATCCAAACACGAGAAAACTGTATGAAACACGAGCGCGAAGCGCGAGTGTTTTATTGTTTTCGAGTGTTTGGTCCCCTGATGAAACACGAGAAACGAGTTGTTTACACAACATCTCAAACGAAAACATTTCATTGGCTTATATATATTATTATAGTATATTGTTGTGTTTTGACTTGAATTTGTAATTAGGATCTCAGTTATTAGATGAAAACCGTTTTTCATCTAACAACAGTAATGGTATATGATTTTTAGCGTGTTTCCTTGCGGTATCCGACCTCAACTGATCATGTGACGAATTAGGGTGAGTTCATTCGCTAATTTGCTCATGAATTATTAATGAGTTCGAGATGTGATATTCAGATTCAGGTGCCAAAACAATGGTGGTAGAATCTACAAAATCACAGGTTTTACATTTCAACGACAGGCAAGGAAAAGTGCCTTTCTGTGACGCCGAAGCCTGTGCTGGGAGCTATGGACTAGGGTTTCACGGATATTTTTGTTGTGTCGAAAAGACGCTAGGGTAGTTTTTCAATATATGGAAATTCTTGTTGATGACATCTCTAACTTTGAAATTGAAAGGATGATAATTTAATACTAGTGAGATTTTGTTGTTGCCTGTGACATTAGACACAGGATCTGTGAGGGTGTCAGAACGGGCACTTCGAAAAGACAGTATCTAATAGAGAGGTAGGATAGCCACGTTGGACAAAAAATTGACTCATCTCTAGACTTAAGCTTTTGGCCTGAAAGTCTTCGCTGCAGATGCGGCGAAGACGAAGGAACTGAGAGAAGGGAATCGACGTTTTGGTGTGGTTGAGGTGGGAAGAGGGAAATAGAAGATAGCTATGGGAATCAGTGGGCTTGTAGAACACATAAGTAACTAGTTTGTTACCATTGATTGATATAAGGATATCTAAGAATGATACACTGGTCTCACTGATCTCCCATGTGAACTGGAGTGCTGAATGGAAATTATTAACAAATTAATAAAGCGTCTCAATTCGACACGAGAACATGATGCTGTGACAAGACAGTCATCTATGTACCTACCAAGGTAATCAGGGATGGGATCAGCGTACTGTTCGAATTGAAGATTTGTTTTTCCACAAAACCAACAAACAATTTAGCATAGTTGGTTCCCATTTTTGGTTCCCATGGCTACACCATTTATCTGTTGGTAATGCTCACTATCGAAAGAAAAATTGTTGAGGATCCTGGTTAGGGCGTTTATCTAGAAATAATTTGAGGGCCCTTAAACCATCATGATGCGGAATTACACTGTATAAGGATTTGACGTCCATGGTGAAAATAGATTTGTGAGTGCCATGAAAACGAATGTTCTGGAGAATTTGGGCAGCATGCTTGGTATCCTTGATATACGATGGTAAGTTCTTAACCAAGGGTGCCATAACACGATCGAGAAAACTGGAAATGAGTTCGGTGGGACAACCACAAGCAGACACAATAGGTCTACCTGGGTTGTCAGGTTTGTGAATTTTGGGCAAGAAGTACATGACAGGTGTGCGAGGTGTGATGTGCATGAGGTTTTTGGCAATCTCAGGGAGATCACCAGTGGTGATAGAGTTATGAATGGCTGAGTGATGGTGGTTTGATGAATGGAAGTCAAATCCTTGTCAACCATCCTGTAAAATGTGGCGTCACCCAATTATCGGTGGGCTTTATTACGGTATAAATCAGCTCTCCAAACAACTAAGGCACCACCCTTATCAGCAGGTTTGATAACAATGTCATTCCGAGCATGGAGTGATTAAAAGGCGCTAAATTCATTGTCAGTGAGGTGAGATGGCCTTTCGGGCCTAAATTTGGGGAGTTGTTCTATATCATGTCGACGTTGTCGAATGAATAGTTCAAGGACCCATATTGGTCTTTTGGGGGAGACCAGGAAGATTTGTTGGGGGTGGTAGCCTCAAAAACGTCCTTGTGAGGGACGGAGGATTGATTATGGAAATGTGCTTGCGTCTGAAAAATGATTTAGTATCGATCTTAACTGAAAAAAAGTCAAGGGACTTGGGGCTGGAACAAGTTTGAGACCTTTCGCGAGGACACATCTCTCAGAGACGGATAGGGTTAAATCGGGAGGAATAGTTACAACTAAATTGGTACTATCGACTGAACTGGTGTGCTTGGTGGCTGGCGAAATGGGACGGTTGCTTAACAAGGAGTTGAACTTGGAGGCTTTGCTCCCTTCGAGGAACGAGTAAAGTCTAGAATTTAACACGCGAATGAATTGGATGATGTCCTTTCTTAAAATAGGAGGACATCAGGAAGACAAAATGGATTTAACATGTGAAATCCTGGAATCTATAGTCTGAATATGCTGTGACATAAAATCAATGGTAATGCGCATCAAACGACGACTGTGTTCATAACAAGTTTTAGTGACACGAGATACAATATGGCAGCTATCTAGTGAACGAGTGAAAATCAAAATTAATGACGATTTAAAGCCGTTAGGAATGACTTTATATCGTAAAGAAGGCTCAAGAAGGAAAGGTGGCTGGAGAAACGAGTTTTAGATAGAGTGAGGTCGAGCAGGCGTAAGGAAGGCTTAGCAATAGACGGTAAATATAATGTAATGTGACTCACCATTTCGTTTCGTAGATTACGGCAAAATTTCTTGAAGTTGACCATCGTTATCACTGGATTTCTTCTGTGATATATACTACTATATTGACCTGCCTTTTCTAAACCCATATTGATTTTTTGATAAAATTTTGTGTTTTTCAATGATCTTGTCAATTTTGAATCTTTGTTATGATTTTTTTAAAATTCTGTTATGAGAAAAAAATTGTTACGAATTATTTGTTATACGAATTATTTGAAAATTTTGGCACGACAGAATTTTTTTTAAATCTCAAAAGTTATTTAGCATGCCGGTAAAAGAAAGCATGCTACAAAATAAAAAATGGCGGTCAGCGACCGGTGCCGTATTTTCGAGATAAATTACTTTAAACCAAAAATTTCCGCCATATTGAAACGTCATTGTTGCCATAGCGACGGCTGTTAAGAGTAAATTTTTGAAAACTGCGAACTCCTTAGGGGCAATTCACAAAGGATGTCCGGCCAAATGATGGATTTTCAGCCCCCCCCCCTCCCCCCTTGTCCGGCATTGTCCGAATTAGTGACCCCTCCCTCCGGACATCCACCATGCCTCGCAAAAATTCACACAACCTTGCATATGTCAAGAGTAAAAAACTTTTTTTACTTTTAGAACTTTTTTATAACTATAAATGTGAATACAACAACATATAAATTACTCATTAAAACAAAATCTAGTGTTAACCGCAGAGTCAAAATACCAATTTCACAATAAGAAGGACTGCTCAAAATAGAGGGAAAAAGAAATTTGTTTTTGAATTTTTTAAAATTTCGGACATCCGGATTGCTAAACCTCCCCCTCTCCCCCTATGTCCGAGTTTGTCCTGATTTTACAAACCCCCCTCCCCTCCCCCCCCCTTGGCTCAGACATCCTTTGTGAATGGCCCCTTAGTTATTGTGTTATTTATGTCAGATACTCTTTGTTTTTGAACAAATAATTGTTTTCCAGAAATTCATGTCCAAATCAGAAGATCTTCCATTTTTTAAAAAGTGTATGTAGCCACCTTAAGTTGAATGATTGTAGAAATATTTTTCTTTAAATAAGACATAAAATTGTGGTTCGCGTGACCTCCACATTAGATCATTTGACCTGAACAACACCCAATAAATTCGTGTAGTACTGGGTTGCCGGCGTTCTTTATTATATATCACGAAAAATTTCACGAATTGCACTGTGGGGAATATATTTGAGTGCCGACTTCAGCCAATCAATCATATTAAAATCACATGATTCAAACAGCCAGTCAATTTTAAGAAAAAAGTGATATGGCGAATGAGCAAAACAAAAACTTTACCATATGTCATGATTACTCTTGAGTGCCTAAGTAATTTTTTGCAAATATAAATAAAAAAATATGGATAGCTACAGTAAACTATGAAAGAATTGCAAGAATTTTCAATTCCTTGAGATTTCACAAATAGTAACTGGCTAATTAAGAACATAATCTTCTATCAAACATGGTCATTCCTTGTAAATTCAAGGTTTAATTTTACTTAAGTTTCACAAATTGCCCTCGTCGCTTCGCGACTTGGATAATTTGGGATACTTTGAAAACACGCCTGAAATTATACCTCAATTTTACTCGGCCCGATGCGATTACCTATAACGATTACCTATAAATATTGCACTCCACTCAGCTCAATTACCATTAAATATACAGTTGTTTTACAGTTGGTTAATTAGAAGCGAGAGTTTGAATGAGAGTCTTTTCAACTCTCATGCCACAGTCAAACGAAAACGGGAGTTTCGTGAGAGTTGATTGGATATTACCGCGCCCATAGCAAAAACTCACATGCATCAACTCTCTCCAAAATTTATCCTCGTTTAACTAGAATTTTCATTTGTGCTTGGCTGTATACTTCAACTGAACCAAGACGATGCCCATGCATTACTATACTGTAGCATACTGTTGTTAACATTTTCATTCCTTTTGCTTTTAGTCTATCAAAGAAAATTTGCGCATGAAAAAAAACACATGATCCAGTGTTATCTGGGTCGAAGAATCAAGATCATTTGGGTGAATTATGATTCAGCGAAGACAACTGTCGTCCTGACTAAAGCGAGGAAGTTCATGCAACACAAATGCGATGGAAAAATAACATGCACTTTTTCTATCAGAAAAGCTGACTTTTTAGGATCGAGTTCGTGTCCTGGGGAATCTGACACATTTCTCGTCCGCTACACGTGTGAAGTAGGTGCCAAGCTAGGTAAGTTGGAATCAGTTGATCGGTTTGGGACGGTTGATCAGACAATCAGTCAGTCCATAAGATCCCACTATTTTTTATTTTTAGCTGCTCCGAACTCACTCCACGTCTTGGCAAGAGGTCAAAGGGAATTGTTCGTCAACTGGTTAAACGATGCGTATAGAAAGAATAATATTACGATAAAATTCGAAATAATTATGTTATTGGCAATGGCATAGCACTATTCCTGGTGGTTGTTATAACATATCTTCTTCGCAATCTTCACTAACACACACACTGTCCAACCTACAACCAGCAACGAAGTACAACGTAACGGTGGCACAATACAATTATGATGGAAGCATTCTTGGTATTGAAAGGCGAAAAATTGCCATAACTCGCTCAAGTTAGAATTTAACTTGTTTTTGATATATCTGTGACCGGTTGTGAAGCAGTTATAAATCAAAATCTTGTAATTTTATATAAGATATTAACTGCACTGTATTCTTTTGCATTTTAGCTGCACTTAAAGCAAATGGCAAAAAATCTGCAACTTCTTTCCAAATTCAACTTGGAGTACTTCAAGGAGACGATAAGTAAGCTTTACCAACGAAGGATTTTATTTCATTTTCGAAGAAGGAGGCGTAGCTTGAGTTGAAAGAGTTCTGCTAGCAATACGCTTCACCGATATAATTAACCACAAGAGTGATGTTATAATATATTATAATATAAGTGTGATATAGACCTTATTCATAAATCGTGATGAGGCCTCGTATCCTAGGAAACGGGGAAAAACGCGGGAAAATTGACAAAATGTTTTTTTTTGCAGTCGGCTATGGCAGCTTTTTTCGTGAATATTACGGCTTTTTTCGAAAATAATATCTATAAAACTGAGCTTGAAAGTTGAAAAAATACTTCTAAGAAAATATAACATGATATTTAAAGCAAAAGATGCTGGAGTCAATCAAAAAAGGAAACCTTTGACTTTGTATTATTGTCGTAGTTTGTATGGCCAAAACAAACAACCAACAAGGCTACAAAACGTCTATGAACACCAAAATCGTAAGAAATATGAAACTATTGTTGAAGAAATAGGATTACAACTCACTCAGGTAATGTAGCCTTCATTTTTTAAACTTGTAAGCTGCTTGCAGAATGTTATCGAGCCACAACCATAGTTCATATTCCCCCGTACGAATCAATAACATTTGACGTTCTCTTGTGATTTTTGACCTGTTGTTTTCTTTTATATTAATGTCAAATTCGAAAAATTATACTTTCATTCCATAGCTGTCTTGATTCTTCAGGGAATAACCTTTATATTGATGTTAAAATCTCAGTAAAATACTGTTTTCCACTTCTGGATAAACACCATCGCTACGTTGTCATTTTTTCCACACAAAAACGCGAGAAAAACCGGTCGCTTTTATAATATACTCCTTTACCGCTTTCGTTGTGGGAACAAAGTCTTAAAATACACACAAAAATCGTTATAAATCGCAAAAAGCAACAAGAAACAAGCCGTTAAAGTCGACACAATAGCATCTGGATTTGGCTTGTCAAGCAGTTTTCACTTGTTTTCCCGCGTTTTGTTCCCGTATCCTAGGATACGAGGCCTCGTCACGATTTATGAATAAGGTCTATAACAGACGATTTGATTGGCAAATGCGCGTGCATTATGACGCAATAATGCACTGTGATCTGTGGCACTGCCTTGTTCTTTCTCTGTTTTTTTCTCTCTTCATCACTACTTTTTAGCCAAAAATATAAACAAAACTATAGAGCTTTTAAAAATTCAAAATTTAGCAGAAAGCAGGAAGTAATAAACCAAAGCAATTTTCTATAGTTCTGCGTGTAAAATTAAATTAACCGGCTTGGCGGCATTCGTCGAATTTCTTGTTGTCTCGACAGGTTTTGGGTAAAAGCGTACAAAATAATTGAGAAAAAAACTTGAAAAAGATACAGGAATACCAAATACATACAAAAAGGCAACAAAAACTGAAGATAAGTGATTTAGAAAGTACCTTCAATTCTTCTGATAATAACTGCAAGATATATTTTCGGCGATACAATAATTTCGAAAATTAAACACGACGAAACCTACGATTTACAGTAGCGTAGCCAGCCCGACGAATTAGTCCGGCTATGCAAATATTTTCGTGTTCATTGACTGTGAAAACAGGGACCTTTAGCAAATAGGTGACGGCAACGCGACGACGACGCCAAAATAAACTCGTTCGAATAAGTAACCTTAAGATCAACATGTTTTGCATTATCCGTGGTATGAATTTATTGCAATTTAAGAAGGTTAAGACAGGTTTATAGTTGAGAAGACTTTCACTAAGCGAATTTGGCGAGGACGACTTCTCGCGGCTTGAAAGGCAGACGTTGTGTACAAAACGTAAAATCTTTGGTCTGCTGTTGTAAACAGAGCAAGGACGACATCTAATACTCCCATGGGACCTTTAATTATGCTTTTTTTTTCTACACTGTCATAAATTTCATTGTATTAATTGCCGTCGCCGTCCTACTAGCTAAAGGTCCCTAACAATCAATTTCTAAAGAAATGAATAATGATAATAATTTTGAATTTGCATAGGGGGACTAGATTGTGGGGTGGCTATACGCCACTGACGATTTACCGTCTTTCATGGCGAATCCAGCAGCTCAGATGCTGAAAAACTTTGGCAAATTAGTCTGTGTGTCACTGTTCTTTTATTTCCACTATTTTAAACAATTTTTCCGGCTTTATAGCATCAAAAGATTGTATATTGTTTTGGCAATTTTGCTCCTTCGCTAGTTGCTTAAAAATTCAAGCGACAGTAAAAGTATGCGCGTGACGTCACTGAGTACACGTTAGGAGAATTTCAACGTCGATCGCTTGAGTAAAATGTTTTACTATGTAATATCTTCTACTTATATTACTAGAAGTTACTAACGCAAGGAAATGCTGCCTCACCCCCAAGGGATGAAAGGCAGCATGCGCAATTTGCTGAATAAGGAGCTGTTTTTATGATCCCGCTTTGCCAGGACGAGATATGAAGCGGAATGATTTCGATATATTGAAATAAGTCACAGCGCACAATTCAGCAAAAAACTTCATTATTTCAATACATCAAAAATCACCCCACCTCCCATCATGTAAACAGCCCCTAAAACGCATGTTCAGGAAGTAGGAAAGGTGAAATTCGAATACCAAACATCTTGCACAATGTCAAAAGGTCAGCTAACTATTCTAATGACCTATTCTAATTCTAATACAGTGAGTCAGTGGTGAAGCTAGGTCGTAGGTTCAATTCCCACCTTGGCCAGGCATATTTTTCAAGTTTGCCCGGTGTGGATATACACTCAGAGTAACATGACAAACATATTCACCTGAGTACATTATCGGTCATGCTACGGTATACAAATTTTTAATAATTTGCATTATTCAAATAGATCCAGGTTTATAGGTGCGGCATGACCAGTTGACATTGTAGCCAGCTTGCAATTGAATAATGTACAATATCATATTATATATCAACCATAATAATACTTAAATGAATCATTGGACATGTAGAATTTAATAACAATTTCATATACAGAAATATTAAGTCAGTTTTTGACCCAATTATCGTTTTAATGGCACCTTCAAAGTAATCTGTGATCAGACCTATAAATAAATAAATAGACCTGATACAAACCTTAAAGACCATGTAAAATCCGTTCTGTGCATACGTTCTGTGCAGGCTTACATTCCAATAGTTGGGACCCGACCGTTGGAATGTTATTAATATTTTGTATGTTTTGAACTTTCTTGAAATGAATCTCTATAGTCTGTATTCATTTACAAGTATAGCGAACCAGAAGAGTGTTAAAAATTCAGTATAATATATATCTAATCATATTTTGTAACTGTAGCACTGAGTTCAAAATGTAAACAAAGCATTTGTTTACATTACAGACTTTACATCGGCTTTACACCCGTTTTCAAAATTACGCGACCAAGGACGAAAATGCTAGAGTTGACATGTCAGTTTTATGTCATTCGGTCACGAAGTTTAAAACTTCGAGTTTTGCGGTTCCTTGTCGATGTATATGCTTTGTATGCTTTATATAAACATGCTTACAATGATTTTCAAGATATTTTAGTGAGAATTATTGCAAAATTTAAGCACAAACAAAATCATAACATCACCGTTATAGTCTAGCGCGCGTGTTTTATACGGACAGCTAAATTCCAGGATAAATTGTTATTTTTTCAAACTTTAAAAGTTATTCACGGCACATATTTCTGTTGTGATGGTTTGTATAGTGCTTTAGTTTGTATATCTAAGTTATCTAGCTCAGTTTTGTTCAGTTTTGGTATTAAATACGATTTACAATGTCTTTAGCCAGTTTGTTTACGTTTGCTATTTTTAGCAGTTTTTGTGACATAAAACTGACATTTGAAGTAAGAGTATTTTTCAGGGAGGTCGCGTAATTTTGAAAATGGGTGTAACAAAAGATCATGCCTTACAATCGTTTTTCGGGTGTAAATCTGGTTGGTATATGAGACAAAAAGATTTTTTAATTTGTCATTTGATTGGTTGGTGCTAATTATATTATATTGTTGTTTATAGTGATCACAACTATAATTAGATTGTTGTTGCCCTTGTGTGAAATTTAAATTTCTTTAAATTTCTGCTGATGCGGCAATGCCTGATGGGGAGACAAAATCTGTTTGTTGACAGTTTTGTTTCATTTGTCAGTTTCTGATGACATCATTCATTTGTAATGATCAAGATTGCACTCAGTCAGAACTGCAAAACTATATAATACAAGAAATTGTGAGCATTATAAAAAAAATATAGTATACCCTGAACTGTAGTGACACAGCCAGGTGAATATATGTTAACAAGTAACAATAGACATACATCTCAGAGATATATTTGTACAGACCGTCATACCTTTTGACAAATGTCGGTTGACATGTTATTACATGTAACTGCTGGTAAGTTAATATGTGCAGACAACAATCCACACTGGGTTGCTATAGGAATATCTTTCTACAAGTCAGATATTTTTTCATTCGTATACATATTTATGTGTTCCAATGCGGGCACGATACTGCTCATTTGATATTCCCATAATAACAATATTATAATACACTATCACTGTGATTATTTATACCTTGATGTACGATGTTCTATCAAGCTCAAACAGATTTTTTACTCCACTTGTTTTACAGTATTAATATATGAAGAGTTGTATACTTGTATGGCACCTAAATTAAAATTTAATAAAAATACAGTTGATTCATTCGACCAAAACACATTGTTATTTGTGATCAAACTTTCATCTTACCTTGAAAAATATTTTCGATAAACGGCCAGATGCAAGAAAAATATTTCGATAAACAGCCAGACATAAATTTGAAAATTGCAACAGGCAACGAGGCACATGCCGTACAAATTGTAATCGTTCATGGTGGTGTTCGTGAGTCTGAACCGGGGTATTCGGAAAGTCAAATCGCGATCTGGAGTATGTTATTTTTTAAAATTTCTGTGACGTCAAAAAACGTCATAAACTGAAAATCCGTACATCCGTCAACAAAATCGAGTTGTCGTTCGGCTATACATAACTCGGCCAAAGAGACTGGGCACACGTAAACGCAATACTTCATGTTAAGAATAGTATGCTGCCTTCGGCAGCAATAAAAGAAATAGCACAACCAGTCTCGTGCGTTTATAGTGCGATAATGCACTTAAGGAATGTTGGGAGAATACTCGAGAAGCGTGTAAAACACTCGGCTACGCCTCGTATTTTACACGCCTCTCTCGTATTCTCCCAACATTCCCCGCGTGTATTATCACACCATAAACGCACGCGACTCGTCAGTAGATCGTTTTGAGAACTTTTTTCAGAACTGTTTTCATTGAATGCTTAAGATTACTTCGCGAATCAATACAATTGTAAAATTATTTTTCCACTCTGAAAACTGGTTGTGAATACCGTCTGATGCGTAATACTGTCCATGTTAGTGAAACCTACTGGAAAAGGTAGACAGGCTTAGGCAAATGTATGTACCTGCAGGTAGGAGGATAATTTAAACTCTACAATCTTCATGTTAATTTAATACTTTTTAAGGGCAGGAAGAAGCGAAAGCCAATTACTTTTTCTTTAGATTTGTTCAAATCGTTGTATCGAAAATACGAAGCAATTCTACACCAACTTACCACCCAGGAAAAGACCTTCTACCGTACGATGTAAACACTGTCGATAACCAATCATACATAGCCGCACAGCTTGATGGAACGAACATCAATCAAAACGGTGTTTTTACTGTAGGAGATGGCAAGAGATACGCTCCAACTAGTACGAGGAAAAGAAGAAGCACTAACTATCGGAATGTGGAATTGGAGGCAAAGACGTATTACTCTGTTTTCAAAGAACATTTAAAAATGCAGTATGTGACGAAATTATATATTTCCAGTAGTATGGAGACAATTTTTTGAAATGTATTAAATCGGGGATTATTTTGTAGTTAAATTCAGAACCGAATCAGTTCTAAGTGAGTACAGGTGGTTGTGAGCAAGAAGATGATGTTATTAATTTTCATTATATCCAAAAGTGTTGTATTTGTATACAAATGAATGGAATAGAGAAATATTGTTTAATTTGCTTTCTTTCTTTCTTCCCTTACGAACATTTCTGAAGTGAGACACCATTTTCTGCCCAGTTTTGCCAGTTAGCTAATGCTTACATGATCCACCAATAGTTCTTGCACCTTGGTCAAAGCCACTTTTGATTGTGTAAATCCTAGGACTAGATCTAAACCGGGATTTTAAAGTATGTAAGCGTTATCTTCTGCTATCTTTGTTTAGGATTTATACTACGATTCAGATTGGATGGACGTTATCAAAACAGATCAGCTGTTACAAACTACAACGTTCTCGACCCCCCTGACAACTACAATCACGTAACCAGATCCTGGTGATGAGAAGCAAAATGGTGACTGCAGTGATGGACCTTGTGCAGGTACAGATATTTTCAATGAGATGAGGGATAGCGGCATTCGATTCCGTATTTAGTATTTATAAATGTTATAAAACAAAACAAAACAAAACCATAACAAAAACATCTTATTTACTCAAGATACGTTGTCTCGTTTAGTTTATAAGTATAAAGATCGAACTACCGCGTTAGCAAGCAAGCAGAACGAAAGTGGAACGAGGACGGATGAACAAAAAATTGAACAGAAATGAACAATTAATATCCCCGCACGGAAGTTTTAGAAGTCGCCGTCGCTCTGTTTACAACGGCAAAATACAGATTATCACATCTTGTATACAACGCTTACATTTCAAACTACTACTTTGAATTGGGTCCTAGAATTTTTCTCAATCACTAACCCTGTGTTAACCTCAATCCTTAAACTGTATTATTTTTCATATTATGGATAATAGCCGACATGCAGGCTTTCTTCCGCAATCATTTGGTTCAACGAGTTCGTTTACCGTCACGTTCCTGTCGTACATAAATCAAACTGATCTATGTACCAAAGAAACACTTTGTGAGACATTCAAAGTTAACGCGTTGTTTAATTTTCATCTAGGTATACAGCAGGAAAATATCTTGTTGGAATTATAGTATTAGTGATTCTGCTGGTCATTTCATTTGTGATTATTGCTTATTTCATCCATCAAAATCGTCGTCTTAAATTATTAAAGCCAAACCCGGAGAACAAAACGAAGGATAGAAATAATTCAGAAAAAATTAATGAAAATCCTGACAAGGATGATGCGAATTATGAAGAAGTAGAAAATGAAAATTCGACGTATACAGCTCTCAAAAGATCTCGCCCTGGACAGGAAGAAAATGACGGTCATTTTTATGCCCACCTAATTGAAGTACACAAGGACTATGTGATTAATCAGAAAGAAACTGGATTTTAAGGATTCTCTAGCTTGTACGAAGCCCGTTTGGTTTATGCAGTGGATAAGCTCAACTATATTGAAAAACAAGTCGGCATACATTTAAGTAACCAAACTGAAGTTTTTCGACTTTAATAGAAAATTACGAAACCGAAGTAACTGTTAGACTGTTATCATTGCATATGACATGACCTATGATCATGTTTACATTGCAAGCGTTGGCCTGACCTGAGCCTTGCTTTGGTCTAACTTTTGGCAGAATGGACACATGATCCTATAAAAATAAATATAACTCATTACCATGCACTGCAGAATTGCATTTTATCTCGACATTTATTATGTTTTTTAGTAAAATATTTAACATGCTCAGCCATTGGCCTGCTTATACTTGGCTTCACATGCTCCGATTATCGATGCATTGGACTCGGCCCAGCGATCTATGTATTGCTGAGATTTGCGAAATAATGCCAAGTTATGCGTAATAAGCTTTTCCATGCTGCAACGGATGCTTATTGCAACTCGCAATGAATATTTCTGTCTGCGTAATAAGTCTGCCAGCGCCGTAACGGATACTTATCATAATTTGTATGCAATGAATTTGCCGCTATCTGCTAAATTACGATAAGTTTCTGTTTGCGCTGTAACGGATGCTAGTAGCTCGTTGCTGAGTCTCAGCTGTGACGGATGCTTAAGAACATAAATAAATTAAACCATAACTGTAGCTTGACGCATCATTCAAGTGCTGACTTTCCAGAGGAGCAGGCTTCAACCTTTTCATCGTCTTTCAGGTACGTTTTATAAATTGCAGTTTTTCTGGGTACCTCATGCTCAGTTGTAATAGACATTCTATTCCCATGCTTGGAAACTGCACGGAATGTAACAGTTCTGGTGATAGGCAATTCGTTTTGTGCTCTATTAAAAAAATACAAAATAATAGTTATTGACGGCGCTCGCTTCGATTTAAGCTCTCATGGTAAAACTATATAGGTTTTCTTTATGAAGTAGATAAACACATTTTGCTTAGTCTTGAGTCTATGTAGAATACGGATTAAGTTTCTAAGCGGAAGCTTGAGATTTTCAGTATCCCAGAAAGCTAGTGCGAGTAACCTCTCTTTCTCTGCAAACCCGTACTGGAGCGAACCATTGGTTCAGAAGGTTTAATAGACTTGGATTTTCTTTTAAAGATTTATGTGTAAATGCAATGTGAATTCCAGTGTAAACTGCGTGCGAGCGAGGGAACGTACGCTCAAATTACTAAAATGTAAAACAAGTCGTGTGCGTATAAATATATTTTTGAAATCACTTCTTGGAAAAAAGGCAATTGGATGCATGTATGTAAAATGTGCTTAATATCGCATGTGCGACCTATACACCCACTATCGAGTCGGGTAATACTCGAATAACGTCGAGCAAGACTGCGTTAGCCTGCGTAGCAGATAAACATTTTCAAGTCTGCATGGTGCGTGTGACAAAATGATCGCAAAAGCAGTAACGCACTACTTTTTTGCGATTGTTTTCCTACCCCGGAACGACACCTTCGCAACCATTTTGGCTCTTTTGAGTTTACAGTGTAACAATTTCGTTGGAAAATATGAATTACAAGCATAGTACTACTGTTACGGTACTAGTGTGCTGTTGAATATTGTAACTGCGCCATGTAAGTTGAGAATTAGGTATTTAAATTAAGCTTCACATTTCAATTTTTTTTGCCACCGTATGTATTGGTCCTCTGAATAAATTAGCTGGTTCAAATTGGAGATATCTGTAATATTTACACGATCATACAATTATTCTTAAAACTTTGCATGTGTAAGAGAGGAGGCATGTTTGATGTTTTGACAGATGTCTACAATCACGCATTATGATCAATTTCATATTATAGTAATTTCATGGTTTTCAAAACCATTTTCATGAAAAGTTCGAATCCGGCGATATATTGAGGTAAGTACGAGTCAATCCAATTACTGGTAATTAATTCTAGAAAACCTTGTGCAAACATTTGTAATATTGCTCCCATGCAGTAAAATGGATTTAGTTCAAATTTAGTTAGCAAATGCATGTGTTGATGACAAATAGGTGAATAATTGTATGAAAAGTTTCAGTTGATAATGAATATAATCAGTAAATCTAAATATTATTGACTGTTTATGTGTATATTGTCCCTTGTTCCAATGTAATAACTAGTAATATTAACAGAATTTTGTAATTTACGATTCAGTTGATTCTTATGGAATATCTCGGCGAGTATTTACCCAACGAGGGTTCAAATGCCGTCAAAACATTACACAAACCAAAACATAGTCTACATAATTATACATAATACATTTACTCAACCTTTGCTGAAACATTCTGAATTTCATTTGGAGAAAAAAATTGAATATCTTCAAAACTTCTCATTATTCTCTCAAAGCCATACGAAAAAATACTCCTTGTATTCAGGCGCTTTCGTGTGGAAAGTTTCGCTTAAACACGGTGAGTAGAAATAGTTATTTTGAATTTCTCAAAATATCAGGTTTTACTCGCACACGCCTGTCACGCATTATACTTGACCAATAAGGAGTTCCCGTAGCCGAGATGACGTCAAATCACGCGTATATAGGGGTACCTTGACCAGACCAGTAGGGTACAAGCATCTCCTTGTTTGGATATTTTCAAATTGTATTTCCAGTTGGGAATAGCGCAAGACTTAATTCTCCAGCGTAATCACGTACGAAGCATATAAAAAATGTAGAAATGAAGTAAACCATCGTATCAAAGTCGCTAAAACAAATTACTACAAAACGAGTTTGGAGAATAGTACTAATTATAGCAAGGATAGCTGGAAAATTACAAATGAATTACTGAATAAGATATCAAAGACTACCTCTATAAATGAACTTATAGTTAACCATGCATAACAAGATAACAGGTGACAAAAACATAGCAAACGAATTTAATAACTTTTCCTGCAAGATAGGACCACAACTTACAGAAAATATACCACCATCAGATTTCGACCCCTTACATTAGCTTTGGCCCTGTGCTAGGGCAGAATTGGTGAGCGTGTTAAAGAAGGTAAAGCATCTAAGGCATCAGGCCTTGATAAGATTTCTAGTAAATTACTTAAAGCAGCAGGGGACTCCATAATTTGAATCACTCATGTACTTATTACACTGACCTGAAAGGTCAAGCGTCTTAAATCACAGGCGGCCCAATCTCGCAAGGGTCAGTATTATAGACTTGTAGTAATGTATATTAAAGTTAAAAAAAATGTCATAAAACATAAATTTTAAAATGAAATGGACTTGCCTATTTGATAGTGTGTGTTCTCCTTTTATTCCTCTTTTGTTGGACTAATATTAAGACATTGTACTCGGTGGTACTAGTATACATACTACATGATAAAGACAAACTATTTACAATCGTCGATCCGTCTGCACAGCACTTCGAATCGAAAATTCTCCCACTCAAATCACTTTATTCTCCAAAACAATTCACCAGCATGTAGAACAGATGCCGTTCTTCGAAAATAAGGGGAGATACTTCGGCGAGATGTAGACTCAAGACAGAGATTACAACTATCTTCAAGTAATCCTCAGTCAGACAGCAGGTCTGAAGTAGGAAAGTCCTTGGGGTCATTACTGATGACCAGTTAAAGTGGAAAGAACATAACGATGCACAATGCAAAACATTTCCCAGTCAATTGCTTTCTCTTGAGAAGAGCAAAGCAATTTGTGAGGCAAGATACACTTCCAAACATGTTTAATTAATGCACTTGTCCTACCTCATTTCACATATTCTTCGAATGTATGGAATGATGATAGTGGTGCACATATTGAAAAACTACACAAATTGCACAAGCAAGCCGCTCGAGTGATAACGGGTTCAAATTATGAAATAAGATCAACAGAGAGATAATTTGAAAAATCAGGTTGGGACAAAATTGAAATTATTCTTAATTAAAACGTGGACACATTATGCCATTTAAATTAAGGCATTAGGCCTACCGGGTGAAATGCCTAACTACTTGTTAGACCTGTTTGTCGCCAGTCATAATGACACGTATCAATTATTATTAATAAGTGGTAAAGATCGAAAACTTTATTTGAATAACAAACAAAACATAAACTTTATGAAAAATAGCTTTTCATACCGCGAAGCTGTATCTAGTCCGTGTGTTGTGACCTTGAACAGTGCCTAGAAAACGATTTTCATTAAGCATATCTTAGATCTGAAATATTTTTTATGGGTCTACGGAGCGGGAACTTTTCGAATTTGAACTCAGCGGAGGTCAAATCCGAAACGTTCCCGCTCCGTAGATCCGCAGTTTTCTCACAAAATGCTATTTTATCTTCAATAATTTCACGACAAATTTGTTCAACGACACGGATCGATGACGATACAAGATTATGTCACTCAAAAAGACCAATTTCTATTAACCAGTCTTCCTTTAAACAAAAGACCGGTTTTGCTCGAATAATTTTGAGTTATGCAATCCTATGCGTGTTGAACGTAAACAACATATCTTGTCTACAACTTTGAAAAAGTATAGATAATTCTTTCTAAAATCCTTAGTTCTTACTCTAACTCTATAAAATCACAAGGACGTTAATTAATGTTAAGTCTTTAGGCGATGCCTCTGGGCTGAGAAATAATTCCTTACATGTGATCAAAATGTTATATACAAAAATGTACAATGGTAATCTTATGTAATGGATAAGCATTTAAATTTCCAACACAGTTTCCGAGACGTAATTCATGGAGATAACTTATCATTGCATTTGAACTTACATCAGTTGGTGTTATGCTGTGCGATAAGCGAATATTATTGGAAAGAGGGCTTCGATATACGTTGAAATCACCAAATAAACAGCCCATGCACACCATTCCCCACTTCGTCGTAAGTTTACAGAGCATATTTTATACTTTGGGACTGATCTTTGTCTTTGTGAACATTTATTCTTATAGTTTAAGGTTATCTAAGATTGATCATGTCGTAAGTGTTCTACCAGCAACCAATCGACAATATTTCATCCCAGCGTTGTCTTTTCCGTTACGTTGGCTTCGCGTTACTTTTGTTTTAAATACCTTGATTGATATTTGTGATGTTACTCTGAGTGTGTATCCACACCAGGCGAGCTTGAAAAATATGCCCGACCACGGTGGGATTCGAGCCTGGTGTGGATACACACTCAGAGTAACATCACAAATATCATATTCACCTGAGTACACAACACCAACACAGAAAAATACCTTGATTGAGTTAAAAGAGTTATTATTCAGGCCAGTGACATAGCCGACATGTCCTTGTGATGTTATAGAGATATCTCTAGAACTGAGGATTTTAGGGGTTGTTCATGATATGGTCCCACTTACCGAGACGTCTTGCCTACCGAGAGGAATATTTCCGTGCGTTCATGTGGAGTATTTCGTCCCGCTTGCCGAGCTGAAATCACAGTGTATAGTTCTATAATTAGCGTATGCAAAACTTCTACATTTCAGTCAAGCAACACAAATATTTATCGATTTTAGTGTTTTTTTCCATTTACTTACAAGAAAAAGTAATGCTTTAGGTGCATGTTTAATACTTGTTTACAAAACAAACATAAAACTAAGTAAAAAGTGGTAAATTAAACGGCAGAGACTTGTTTGACTACATCCCGGTAAGTGGGCTGGAGTGTTCATATGGAAAAATTTTCATCCCGCCTACCTATGATCTCGCTAAATTCAATCGAAATCTCGGAAAGCGGGCCAGCTCGCTTTCTCACATGAACACAATGCAAAATTTTGTAGGAAAATAACTTGGCGGCGAGATCATCGGTAAGTGGGACGTCCCGGTAAGCGCGATCATATGAACAGGTCCTTAGAAAGCGTTATCTGTACTTTCTCAAAGTTGTAGACAAGATATGTTGTTTACGTCCAACACCCATAAGATTACATAACTCAAAATGATCGAGCAAAACCATGCTTTTGTTAAAAGAAAGACTGGTTAATTAATAGAATTTGGTCCTTTTCAGTGACATAATCGTGTATCCTCATGCATCGATCCGTTTCGTTGAACAATGAAAAAATTGTCGTGAAATTATTGAAGATACTAGAAATACTTGCATGCAACAACCCCTCGCCTATATTCTCCAAACATTGTTTTAACATGAAGTATTCGTAAATACGCCTACACTGAACGCAGGCTCGCGTTGCTACTCATGGCAACACGATAATTTTTAAATTTTTTTTTGTACAAACCTGCAAAAAGTAGGTGAAATTGAACACTTTTAAATACAGAACTATCAATTTCTAAAATATATAAAGTAGGTATATTATTTTGGTTTCTATGGGCTCTATTTTAATGTAAAATTCGAAACGAAACTACGTATTAAAAACGTTTTTAAATGTGAAATGAATTTTAACGGCTTTTTGCCGATATTATAATCTCTTCAACTTATTACTCGCACTTTGAAATGAAATAAATTTAATTCGTACAGGACGCTAATGAAAATAACTTGCTTTCCTTTTTATCATGAACTTCTACAAAAGTTAATTTAACTAAGAAACTTTCGCATACAATGTATAGGAAAGACTTGAACAACAAGAACAAAATCTATATTAATAATACAAAGTCATGCATACATAAACAATTGAAATAAATTTGCTAGGTACTTTAAAATTTATTATACTAAATCAATTCTTAGTTAATGGTTACCTTCAAAAATTGAAGAAAAGTTTTACAATTTATTATGTTTATATAATGTGAAACAATTTTCCAAGCTTTCTTACATATATTTTTTAAATTTTCCCGTTCTTCACTCCTGGCAAACAGCCATATTTTAAGATCAGTGAGATGACCACCCATACACCCATGAACCGCGCCCGCGATATTTGATGAACTTTAGACTTCGCTAGTGCGATCCTTTTCCCCGGTGTAAATAGCTGGGGGAGGGGGTTATAGTACCCTCGCACGGCGCTTCGCGCCGTCGGCTCGGGAAAATAGCATTTTGTGAGAAAACTGCGGGACTATACGCACTATTTCCTATCCTCGGAGCTGAGTTTGCAGTAGGGTTCTCAACACGAGTCATTATAGGGAGCTTACGATCATACGATACGGTCAGCTCGACGACGTCGAGTCAATTTATGCTTGAAACAACGCACAGAAATTTAACTATACTGCTTTAATTGTCTAAAGCATGTTTTAGTAGTCTTACAAATGTTTAAATTGGTCTAAACTGCAGAACTACTCCGCTGTTTAGCTGATGTTGCCATTCTGGCAACGTTATAAAACAGCTCCCATGTCGCAACGAGCTTTGATATCGCGAGGAAGACGTGAAAATTACTTGTTTGACGGTGTCCCAAGAATGGCAACGCTGTTGACGAAACTTTTGACACTACAAATTATTCATCCCTTTTGTCTCGCATGACGTATTTCTTTGTTTTCTAAGCGCGTCGTCGAGCGTCGTGAATCGTAAACTCTCCAATAGTTTCGGTCCGAGGCGCAGCCGAGAACCGAAACTAATGACGAGTGGTAGAACGAGAGAACCAATGACTACGGGCCGGCAGAAACATGCAACTTTGGCCTTGATGTGTCAGTTGTCGAAAGCCTGAAGACAGACATGCTAAATATGACTGCCGAAACGTTGAATATTTCTGGTTGGCGAAATAATGATACGAAAGTTCACGCCCTGCATGTTGCAGCAGCAAACTTCAGTCACAAAGGTGAAAAGAGCATAAAATCACCAGGCAACAAGCACTAACCAACTCGTTTAACAAGTTATAGTTAACCTCGTGCACTTGCCTGCACAGACTAATGGCTTGTAACATGTACGCAGTGTGTGCCTATCTTTTCTTATCATTTTTATATAATCTTATTGATGGTAGCTCACTGTCCTTGACGTGCTTGCGTTTTTCCAGACTTGACTTGGCCAAGCGATCTATGTATTGCTGAGATTTTGAATTGAATGTTAAGTCATGCGCAAGTCAACGTTCTTCACGTCCGCTTTCCTCTGCATGATGTGTATAATGTGTAAATCTGAAAGAGACAAAACGATCGCAAAAGAACTACTCCTTTGGGATTGTTTCTGACCCCAGAACTACACTTTCGCAACCGTTTTAACTCGTTTGAATTTACAATGTAACAATTTCGTTGGAAAATATGAATTTCAAACAGCCCGTATTTTGAACTAAAGGCATATATAGTATGCCGTTGAATATATTGTAACTTCGCCATGTAAATCGAGAACTTAAATTAAATTCAGTACGACGTCTACACCTCGACAAAGGAAGTCCTTAAAACTTTTACCTCCGGACAAGAAGACAAACTGCAGAATCATCTGATTTTGCAAGGCTCCTTCTTCTCAAATGTCATTAAGTTTTCACTGTCGAAATTAAACGGTATATGGTCTAAATCCCAATCAAACCTCCCAAAGAACATCTATAACTTCACCATTCGTTACATTAATAACTCACTTCCAACTCGTAAAAACCTTACTAAATGGGGAATATTGTCCAACTCTGATTGCTCCTTCTGCTTAAACCCTGAAACCCTTTTACACGTAGTTGCTTGATGTCAAACGTACCTCCCACGATTTACATGGAGACATGATTCTGTTCTGAACTTCATAGCACAAACGCTACAACCTGTAAACAACTCCAATCTTTTCGTCGATCTTCCTGGTTATAAAAGCCCATCAATTGTAACTGGTGACACATTCCGCCCAGACCTACTTCTATCTATCAACTCGGATTGTCTCTATATCCTTGAACTTTCTGTTGGTTATGAGTCTAATCTACAAACAAATGTTGATCGGAAAAGAAGAAGATACGAAGATCTCATTACACAGCAAAAGAAACAATTTAAGTCCGTAAAATTTGTAAATTTGTCAATTAGTTCTTTAGGCGTTTTCTCAAAAGAATGTCATTCCTTTTTAGATATGTTAACTGATCTAGGTCTTGATAAAAGACACCAATATTTCGCTATCAGGAAAATTATGTCTATCGCGATTAGGACAACATATTATATATTTTGCTGCAGAGATAAGGACTGGTTAAATCCGGAATTACTGAACATTTAAGGATACTCATTATTAATATATAAATATTAAGTAGGTTCAAGTAGTCAATTATAAATTACCTAAATTAGTGAGATTTATAATTGTATATATACGTATATAATTTCAATAAAGTTTCCATTATTATTATTCTCTACTTTATCTAGAGGAAAGATTTAAATCACCACAGAAGTAAAGTGAAGGCTGATAAAGAACAGAATGCGTTGTTATCACCATGCATAGACGGATTTTCTGGGGGGGGGGGTGCAGGGGGGTGCTACCACCCCAATATTA